ATTCTAAACTTAAAACCCAATTTCAAGTTCTGGCAATGCTGTTTGTAAGTTGGGTGTCTTTAAACACAAATTCCTTAGCTTCTCTTTTGTTTTCTCCTTCTTTTGCTAGAGGGAGTGTGCACTTGTCAGAGAAAGACAGAGAGCCTGAGAGAAAGGGAGAGAAGAAAGCACCTCCACTCTCAAGGGGAATGGTCACCCTGTAATCCTGTCTCCTCCTCCTCTCTCTCCTTTTGGGATTTTGGGTAGACAAGTGTCTCAAGCCATAGGTCCAGTGCTTAAACCCTGCAGTCAGCTATATGAGATCTGGCTACTTTAACCTCTAGGTCATAAAGCCAGTCACCTAAACTTTTCCAACATTTCATTTCCTTAACCACAAAATGAGTATGGTGTTATTGGTGAAAGGAATCAAAGGAATTATACATGTGCTATGTGTGGCATAGTAACTGGGACACAGAAGGTGATAAATTTAATATTGGGCAAGCCTGAATGTGATGGGCCATGAAAGGAGGGTACAGAGCCAAAAGATGAATGCTTCAAAGATAATTTCACTATGCAGAAGTTCACTCTCTGTAAAGTGGATGCCTTCTATTTAAAACACATTTAAAAAAACATATCTAAAGAGGATTAGGTTGGCTTCAGTATTTGCTGAGATATTTATTGATCCTTTATTTTGTACCAGACTCAGTACCAATGAAGTGATTTATGTGGATTATCTCATTAATCCTTGTGGAAGGTGGGAAATAGATACTATCATTGTGCTCAAGTTCAGAGACATAAACAGTGCTCACGATGTCCCAGCTGGTAGAGGTGGAGCCAAAAGTCAAACCCTGAAACTCTGAGATTGCTATAACTCACTAAGTATGTTGCATCATTAAATATTTTTTTCAGTCCCAAACCTTGTGCAGTCAAAGTTCAGTTGCAGAAACTCTTCAAGGCACTAGGTACCTGTGCATTTGCCAGTGAGCCCAGCCACTTCTTAATGCCAAATTGTTTTTACAATATACTTTTAAGTACTTCAAAAAATTGTTCTTTAAAGCTATTTTTTAGGGGCCAGCAAGTGGCGTAGTGGTTAAGGTGTTGGACTTCCACAGGGGCAGCCAAGGTTTGAGTCCCAGACCCAGTGGCTTGAAACTTACCCTGGGCTCATGTGCATGTGTGCTCAAGATTCTGAAAGGAGGATGAAGGAAAAGGGATGGCCATACCCCTTGGGTATTATTTCTGACTTTCTTTCTTTCTGTGTCTCTGGTGAGCACACTTGTCCTATAGCAAAAATCCACTTTAAGGGACCAGCAGATGGCATAATGGCTATGCCACTAGACTCCCACGTAGTCAACTGCAGTTCGAATCCCAAATGCGTTGGCTTAAACTCACACTGGACACATATATATGTGTGCCCAGGATCCCAAGAGGATGATGGAGGAGAAGGGATTGCTGCAGGGCCATCCCCTCTATGGAGTGATTTTTCGCTTTCTGTCTCTCTGTCTCTCTCTTTTTGGCAAGCACATGCCCTATAGCAAAAACCTCTAAAAAGAAATCCACTTTAATACTATTTTGTAGGGTGCCTTTAGATTATGTTCTCCAAGAGGGTAGGAACTCGTTCAGTCTAGTTAATCTCTGATTGTAATAAAACCATAAATGGCACATCCACAGTAAATGTTTTAGAATTGGAAATACTTTTTTTTATAATTCAGACATTTCATAGGCATATTATTTTTCTCTTCTCATATTTCAACTTCAATTGGAAATACTTTTTTTTATAATTCAGACATTTCATAGGCATATTATTTTTCTCTTCTCAGATTTCAAGTTTTATGCATTATGACAAAGAAGGAAAGACTAACACTTTGTTGAGTACTTACTATGTGTTAACACTGTGACAAATAGATGGATTTGAATAAATATTATGGATATAATGTTCATATAGATTTAGATATCAATATACTTATAAGTATAGTGATAGATATAGACATAAGTCTTATAGCTATATTTATATAAACACTGAAATAAATATAGCTATAAAGATAGACATGCATATACATATAGACAGAAATAGATACATAGATGTGTCTTAGTTCTCTTAATACTGTGGGATCAAGTTCTTCTGTATTTTTGCATATCAGAGGAAAAGCTAAACTTTGCCATGTCTGTATTCAAGAATTTATCCCCATTCCTTCTCTTTAGATTCTAACTCTGAAGGTTAAAGATTTTTTTTTTGACATTCTGAATTACTCATTAAAAAAATCCCCAGAGAAAGTGTTAACTGATAGTAATTCATATTTCTAAAGCAGTTATCTGGGTGAAGGGGCTGGAATTAGAATCTCTGCTATTTGATATTTATGGCTTTCAGCTACCACAGCCCTCATCTTGGCCCTCTCACATGACAAAATTTTAGTCAGAATTGCAAACACATTTTAAAAATGCTGCCAAAGTTAGGTCTTCTTTATTTGAACTGAATGGTATGTTAGTTTCTCTGAATTGCCGTGGCAAAGTATGGCATGATGATTTAAATAAAGTACATTTAGTTTTTCATGGTTCTAAAGGCTAGAAGTCCTAGATCAAGGTGATTTTTCCTGAGGCCTTTCTCCTTGGCTTGTAGATAGCTGTCTTCATGCTCGTGTGGCAGTCTCTCTCTGTATGTGTCTGAATCTTCTCTCTCTTTTTTTCTTTTTTGTTAATTTTATATCTTTCATGATCAAGAAAGATAATGAAAGGAAAAGAGAGAGGGGGGGCCATCACTCCCAACAGGGCCTTGGCAGCACCATCTAACCCCAGCCTGGGCTGGCCCATACCATAGTTGTACTCAGAAAGATCTCCAGACTTGAACTAGGAACCTTCCCAGGTGGGCCTGTTTTTTAGAGCATTGTGTTTTATTGCTGGGCTACTGTCTGGCCTCTGAATCTTCTCTTCTTACAAGGGCACCAGTTATATTGGATTAGGCTTTACACTAATAATCTCATTTTAATTAAATTATCTTTTAAACTCTTTCTCCAAATATAGTCACATTCTAAAGTATTAGAGTTGAGGACCTAAACATATGCATTTGAGGACGGGGTACAATTCAATCTACAAAAAAGTGTTGGTAAGTTTCCTTGTCGGGCTGGCCTTGTAGCCTGGCTGTTAAGGGAGCAGAATCCTGAATGGCTGAACCGAAGTTCAAATTCCAGCCAGGTGGCTTGACTAACACCCTGGGTGCATGTGTGTTCATGCCCCAAATCCCAACATGACAGAAAAGGAGAGGAGATTTCAGCTTGACTGTACTCCATTGGGACGTGCTCTTTCTCCCTCTCTATCTCCCTGTCTTTCTGTGACAAGTGTACATGCCCTCTAGTAATTAAAAAATTCGCATTGTATCTTGACATCTCTCCTTTTCCTTTTTTTTTTTTTTTTTTGTCTTTAGCAACTTCTTAAGGGGTTGTTCATACTGTATTTGAAAACAAAACAAAGCAAAACAAAACAGTGAGTTAGTGTTTTAAGGAAGACCCTTAGGTCATATACACAACTGTGGAAAAATAGCAACTCAGTCTTCCAACCTCACTCTAACCCGGTGATACATGTGGAGCAAAGTGTGTGCTGGAAAAAATAGCAGAAGAAGTGAGTTTTTAGAACGAACTCTGCTAAGACCCTTAGGTCATATACACAACTGTGGAAAAATAGCAACTCAGTCTTCCAACCTCACTCTAACCCGGTGATACATGTGGAGCAAAGTGTGTGCTGGAAAAAATAGCAGAAGTGAGTTTTTAGAACTAACTCTGCTATCAAATGTGCCTTATAACCTTGGGGAAATCCCTGTTCCTTCTAGGATTCTGTCCTTGATCAGGGATTTTTAAGCTTAAATGTCCAAAGGAACTGGACAGCTACAATAAATGAAGAAGCAGATAAGTGTGACAAAATAGGGGGTGATGGGAACCTTGTCAAATTGGAGTATATCATATTAAGTGGAGCAAACAATTCTCAGCTCCAGTTAATATGACAGGTTAAAGTTAAGGTCTAGTGCTGCTGTACATTGCAAGTTTTATTTGTCGATTTTATAGGTTAGTATTATATCATTGCTAACGTACTATAATATAAGAGGACTTAATTATTAACAGTGATAGGAGTTTGAATCTCAACGCTGTTTGCAAAGTGGCTTTTTCATTCAACATTTATATGGAAAGACAGGTCCAAGCTTAAGTCAGTTTTCACAATCAAACTTTAAGAAGGATCCTGAGATGGTTAGTTTTAGGTGTCAGTTTCACTAGATTAAGGAATACTAAAGAAGTGGTAAAACATTATTTCTGAATATGTCTGTGAGGATGTTTTCAGAGGAGATTGGGTGTTGAGTCTAAGTGAGTACAGTGGGGAAGATCCAACCTCAATGAGCATGGGCACCTTCAGTTGGCTAGAGACCAACAGAACAAAAAAGTCCAAGAATATACTATTTCCTCTCTTCTGGAATTGGTATACATTCTTCTTCTCCAGTGTTTGGATATAAGAACTCCAGGTTCCCCAGCCTTTTCACCCCAGGACTCATAGCAGTAGAGCCCAGGCCTTTAGCTTCAGAGTCAGAGTCATACCATGCATTTCCCAGCTTCTGAGACAAGGCAGACTTGGACTGAGACCTACTACTGGCATACTAGGGTTAGTGTCAGCCAGGAAATCTGTAATAGGACCTCTCAGTCTCCATAATCATTGGAGTCAATTATATGACTTCCACCAGAGAGAGGCATAGATACACACACATGCGTGTACAAACACACACACACACACACACACACACATGCACATTTGGACGAGGACTGGATTGGCCCAGCTTGGATTAAAAATCATGGGAATGACTATTCCACTCTGCACCAAACCAACTTGAGTTGTGTGTGTTTGTGGGGGATCATCTTAAGTATGACAGCCTTTATCAGAACCATATGATTGGGCCTGGCGGGAAGTCAGGTCACCAGTGGAAGGTTAGCATGGAGGACAGACCTTTCAAAACACTGAGATTCTAACATAAAGGGAACAGCCATATTGCTGCCATCCTGGGCTTGAGTCCCAGGGATTGAAGAAAATGAAGATACCCCTGGAATGTGTCCTGACCTCATGTAGCTATAGCCCCTACCCAGCATTTTCTGCCTTGTGCTTCTTTAACAGGGAGATTTTTTTTTCCCCATCTAAATTAATGTGTTATGCCTTCCAGATTCTGTTGAGTTGAAATAAAACTGTGAGTGTAACAGCTAGTCATGAATATGCATCCATTGTGTGGAGAAAGTTACTGCTGCATGAACCACCTCTTTTTATTTATTTTTAATTTTTAATTTTAATTTACATTTAATCACAAATAACTTTACAGTGTACAACATTGCTTTCTCCACCATGAATACCATGCATATCAGTCAAGACAAGGACATTACTATATACATTATCATCAACAAAAAGCTTTCATTTTTTTCAATTAATATATTTTGTTTTTCTTTTCTTTTTAAATTTTTTTTGCATGAGCAACCTCTTAACTGTCTCTTCCCAAGGCAGGTGGTGACTTTGAGAATTTTGTACCCAGTTCCTGAGGACTGTCCTACCATGCAGTGGCTGATGAGATTTCGGGTCATCTGGGGCATCCACAAGTCCTTCCATGGCTTCCACACTGCCCCTTGGAAACTGCGCTTCCAATCATCAGGAGTAGGAGCCCCTAGGTGGAATGACAATGATATGCCTGAGGAATTTAACTTTGCAAGCTATGTGGTGGACTACTGGGCTCAGATGGAGAAGGTAAGAGCTCATCCATGATGGGGTAGGAAATGAATTGGCCGCACTAGCCTTACCTTGTTCCTAGTAGGCTGAGAGAATGAATCAAAGAAAACTTTTTACTAAACCTATCAGTATCATGGAAAAGACTTGTAGTTCAGGGTTCAATTCCAGCCTGACTTCTCTGAATTTCAATAATAACCACAAAAATAATATAGCCCTCAGTTATGGAGAATGTTTTTTATGTGCCATTTACATTGAATCCTCTGATTAGATGGGCTCTGGTATTCTCCCCATTTTCCAGATGAGAAAACTAAGGTTACAAGGATTTAAAGTGACTTACTAAAATCATGTATCTCATAAGTGGAGGATTTGTGTCCAGGACATCTGTTTTAACAATTCATCATTTGATCTAGTTTCACCTAGTGTGAAAACTTATGGTTTTGTTTGCTTGTTCATTTTGTCTTTGCAATGAACTCACTAGAAAACCAAAAGTACTATTCTGGATATTGGGCATAGAAAAGGTAAGAAGACAGACAACCCCACTTTTCCTCTTTAGATAGTGTGATTCCTACTTCATGTCTAGAGAGATGGGCACAACATCTGCGACACTAAGTTGTTTATTTTGGAAACATCCTGACAGAATCAAATTCTTCCTACTAATCCCTGATGTGCTTCAGTATTAGATCTTGCTTAGTAAATATAGTCAAGTTTATGTTGACCACAAAGCTTAAAAATATCAATACCTGAATGTCAATGCTTGGCTCTTTGTCTCATAATGTCTGTCTCATAAATTTAATTTCTATGCTGCTAATATTCCAAATTCTTTAATATCCAGTAGTCAGGTCTGAATAGACTTTTTTTTTGAGCCAATGGATCTGTGTTTTGATATTTCTTAATTTAATTGCATAATTTTACATAAATAATTAGTAATAGCCCTAGCGGTCTTCATGTTCTCCTAAATACACTAGACTTCTGTCCCAGCATCCCATAATAGCATCCTTTATGGTGTCCATGAACAGTGTTTATCTTTTGAATTCTAATGTGTGTGTAATATCATTGGCAATACTTTGTTAAGTTCCATGAGGTGCGAAATATTTAATGCTTTATTCACTGTTTTATCACCAATAGGTAGAATAGGTCTGGCACACTAACTGTTGACTGAATCTAAAGGCATGCCTCAGCCTGGACAACACAGCCACCAAGATAAACAAGCTGGTTCCTGGTCATGACTTGGTTGACTGTATTTTAGGAAAGGGCTGTCTACTTTCTCATGGATGTGATAAGCTCTTGTAGAGGCAAAGGACAGCAATTCTCTAGAACTGACATTGTGGATTACTATAAATATATACATGGGAATAGAGGAATTTTGGGACAAACAGATCTCATGGAGAGATAGACACACATTTCAGGAAACAGAACCAGGCTTTCATGCTTCTTTCTGAAATAATATGGCATAATCCATTCATTTTTAAAAAGAATTACTTTTACTTATTATTATTACTTTAAATTTGCTGTAGGGCATGTGTGCTCACCAAAGAAAGAAAGACAGGGAAAGGGTGGTGGTGGAGGAGGGGAGAGTGAGTAAACAAGCCTCCAGGTCCAGAACTTGAACCACAGTTGGTCATGTGGGAATCCAGTACCCTTAACCACCATGTTACCTGCTAGCGCCACATAATTTATTCTTGACAGTCATTCCTGTATGGCAGCAATCAGTAGAGCTGAATAGTTGCTACCCCCTAGGAAGCTTTGTGACTCTCCAGCTTACCCCATAGGAGCTTGGAAGACTTCTCTCACTTATGTAATTTGCCTTGCCCTTGAGGGCTCTGGATTTGATAACCTCTAGTATAAAACCAAGATTATCTTGGATTATGTACATTCTAATGGCATAATGCATATTATGTCCCAGTTAAAATATAATGTTAAAAGGTTTAACTCTCAGATTCTTAGAATAATCTTTTTTGGTAAATTAATTTTTAGTGTGAGAATCAGTCAGTTACTATAATTCACACATGTGCATTGATACTCCATGTTTGTGTCTCCCATTTTGACATGTCATATGATATATTGGTTATTTAGCAAAACTGTAAAGGTTATAACAATTCTTAACAATGACAATTTACATTAAAAATGCAGTCTTTTTTTTTTTTGAGAGGTTTTTGCTAGAGGGCGTGTGCACTCGCCAGAAAGACAGAGAGAGACAGAAAGATAGAAAGCAAGAAATCACCCCCCAGGGGGGATGGTCACGCCGCAATCCCTTCTCCTCCATTCTCCTCTCAGGATCTTGGGCATGCATGCACATGCGCCGGCGTGAGTTTTAAGCCACCAGGTCTGGGACGCGAACCGCGGTCGACTACGTGGGAGTCCAGCGACATAGCCATTACGCTAACTGCTGGTTCCCCCAAAATCTATTGTTTCTAATGGAGAGGGTTTTATAAGTGACTTGATAATTTTCTCTGGCTGTGTATATATTTTTTCTCTCTTTGTCTTTGACTTTTGGCACTTTCATTACAGTATACCTCAGAGAATCTTTTTGGGTTGAATTAACTTGTGACCTTTGTATTTTCTCAATAATTTTTGGTCATTATTTTTGAGAAATGGGTGTTCTATGCCTTTTTCTAAGTTTTTTTCTTCTGGGACTTCTCTAATGCAAAGATTTTTTTATCTGTAGCATAATGTATATTGCACTATATTCACAATAGCCCAGCTATGGAATCAACATAAGTGTCCGTCAACAAATGCATAAAGAATATGTGATATGTATGTGTATATGTATATTATTCAACCATTAAAATAAATGAAATCTTGCCATTTGAAGTAACATGGGTGAACCTGGAAGACTTTATGTTAAGTGAAAGAAGCCAAGTACAGAAAGAGAAATAGCACATGTTCTCACTCATATGTGGAAATAGAAAAAAGATGACCTCATAGGAGAGAATTGAAAAATGGCTCCCAGAGGTTGGGAAGGATGGGGAAAGAGAAAGATAGAGAAATGTTGATTAATGGAAACAGAATTACAGACAGATAAGAGAAACAATTTCTAGTATCATAAAATACTTGCGTAACACACACACACACACACACACACACACACATATATATTTAACAGTTTACTGTGTATCTCAGATTAACTAAGAAAGGGAATTTTGAATGTTCCAAACAAAGTAATGATGAATGGTTGAGATAATGGATATACTAGTTGCCCTGATTTAATCATGACACAGTGTATTCTTGTATTGAAAAATCACGTTGTGGGACTAGAAGATGGTATAGTGGTTATGTCACTGAACTCCCACATGACCAACCACAGTGTGAGTCCTGGACCCACTGGTTTGAAAATCATGCCGGGAATGTATGCATTCACGGCCAAGATCCTGGGAAGAGAATGGAAGAGAAGGAATTGCTGCGTGGCCATTCCCCCAGGGGGGTGATTTCTTACTTTCCCTCTCACTATCTCTGTCTCTCTCCCTGGCAAGCGCACATGCCCTAAGGCAAAAACCTCTTTTAAAAAATCACATTGGACTTCACAGGTATATACAATCATTTAGTATCAATGAGAAATACCAAATTATATCTTTGCATACTGTATATCCACTAACATAGATTTATAATTATTTTTATGCTTTGTCTTTTAAATTTTCTAAGAGAATAAAATATAAACTTATAAAACAAAATTACAATAATACGGTTTTTATGTTTGTCCATGAACTTACCTTTAGAAGAGAACTTTATGTTTTTATATTTGAGTTATTCTAGAATATTCTTTTATGTCAATTTGAAGACTCCTTTTAATATTTTTTCTAGGGCAAATCTGGTGGTTATGAGCTTCCCCAACTTTTGCCTATCTAGGAATATTCTAATTTCTCCTTCATTTTTGAGGGACAGTTTTGCTAGATATAGAATTCTTGGTTGACTTATTTTTCTTTTTGCACTTAAAATAAATGATTCACTGACTTTTGGCCTGTAAAGAACCTGCTGAGAGACCCACGGATCAATCTCCTGCACATGATGAGGTACATACTTTTCTCTTGCTGCTCTCAGTATTATCTCTTTGTCTTTGGTATTTATAGTCCGATACAGTATGTCTTGGTACCAGGCTCTTTGGATTTATCTTGCTTAGAGCCTGTCCAAGCCTCTTGCATGTTTATATCCATTTTGTCCTCAAAAGGGGAAATGAACACCATTATTTCTTCGAACAAACTCTGTGCTCCTTTCTTTTTCCATCTTCTGTTAGGGTTCCCCAAAAACATATATTTTGATTGGCCAGATACTGTCCCATAAGTCTCTGTTCACTTTTCTTCATTCTATTTTTTTTTTCTTTTTGTTTCTCAAATACAGGAATCTGCAATTTATTTTTTTATTTTTTAATTTTTTTTTTAGATTTACTAATTCTTTCTTCTACCTGTTTAAATTTGTTGTTGAACGCTTCAAGGGAATTTTCGATTCTGTTACTACACTTTTCAGCTCAAGAATTTCTGTTTGGGAACCAGCAGTTAGCGTAATGGCTATGTCGCTGGACTCCCACGTAGTCGACTGCGGTTCACGTCCTGGACCCGGTGGCTTAAAACCCTCGCTGGGTGCGTGTGCGTGCGTGCCCAAGATCCCGAGAGGAGAATGGAGTAGAAGGGATTGCAGCATGGCCATCCCCTCTGGGGGGTGATTTCTCGCTGTCTCTCTGTCTCTCTCTGTCTGTCTGGCGAGCGCACGCGCCCTATAGTGAAAAACCTCTCCAAAAAAAAAAAAAAAGAATTTCTGTTTGATTAATTTTTTTAAACCTCTATCTTTTTGTTAAATATGTTTTGTTTTTTTCTTTCTGGATTTCTCTTGGGTCATTGTCTGGGTTTTCCTTTAGTTCTTTGACCATATGTAAAACAGTTGTTTTAAAATCTTTGGCCTGGTAACTGAATCCTTCATATTCTGTTTCTGGAGATTAATTTTGTACACTTGAATAGGCCATGCTTCCCTATTCCTCTGTATTCCATTAATTTTTTGGTGAAAGTTGAGGTTTAAAGAACAACAACAACAACAACAACACAAATCTAGTCACCTTTCTCCATCTTACATAATTGTTTCATGGAACAGAAGACCTTCACCCAGTTTTCTGGTAGTTGTTTGTCCTAGGGCTATGTGCGTACTCGCCCTTATCCAATTTTTCCTTATTCATGGCTGCTTTAAAGTGTTTTGATTTTCCTTAAAAAAAAACTGCTGTTTCTTGGAGACCTAGATGTTCTATTTTTTCTCAGTTCATCATCTCCCATATCTAGATACTCACAGGACTGCAGTTAGTTTTCACACACCACGACTCCTGCTACTGCTCTCAGAGACCTCCAACCTGGTATTCAACTTATGCCACTATCCCCATCAGACTTCCAACTCATGCAAGACAGAAACCAGTTCCTCAAGCACCTCCTGGAGGAGACAGAACATTGTAAACATGTCCTGCTCTTTTCTTTCTGCCCCAAGAGAGGATCCAGGAATTGGGTGGCTTCCTCTTGATTACACTTCACTGTACCATAGGAAGGGGGAGGGGCAAGGCAAGCAAAAACATCATAACATTTCCTATTATAGTCAACATGGCTGTTTCTTACTTTGGGCCTTTGATTGTTGAATATCCTTGACAGATTTCCAGTGCTCCAACAAAGCTACTTTTTCATCTACTCTGGCTTACTTGATGCTTCTATGGGGAACATTGGCCTGGAGATTTCTTTCTTTCTTTCTTTCTTTTTTTTTTTTTTTTTTTTTGAGAGGTTTTTGCTATAGGGCGCGTGTGCTCGCCAGACAGAGAGACAGAGAGAGAGAAAGTGAGAAATCACCTCCCGGGGGGGATGGCCACGCCGCAATCCCTTCTCCTCCGTTCTCTTCTCGGGATCTTGGGCACGCACACACACGTGCCCGGCGTTGAGTTTTAAGCCACCGGATCTTGGACACGAACTATGGTTGACTACATAGGAGTTCAGTGACATAGCCATTACACTAACTGCTGGTCCCTGGCCTGGAGATTTCTAGTTTACTATCTAAATTAAATAAAATTCCGAAGTATTAAGCCATTAAATTAGCCTGTTTTATTTTATCGGTTGTGGTAATAATAATTATTACTAAGCATATGCTATGTTCCAGGCCCTTTATGTGCTTTACTTGTGTAAATAACTCATTTAAGCTATAATATATTGCCCTCAAGGTAGTATTATTGTCTGCATTTCATAGATGAGAAAACTGAGGCACAGAGAAGGACCCATTGACCATGTGAGACTAAGACACATAGAGGAAAGGAATTTTAAATTTTCAATGAGAGACATGAAGGCTATTCATGATCTTATGAGACTTGAGATGGAGTGACTACAGTAGACTAGAAGTTGGCTGGATCCCACCTCATCCCCCAGCTTCTCTTGACTCTGTAAATCCTTTGAAGTGTAATCTCAGTTTTTAAGCTATATATACCCTGGAATATGACGATGACAATTTTTTGGCAAAATAAGTACCCATTACCTCTGAAGCAAGAAATAACACGTGGTGTATGATCTTGACCAGGAGGGACAGAGAGATCCAACCCCAGCCTTTTGGTGGATAAATGGTCGAGGAGAAGAAGTGAAGTGGAGCTTCGGAGAGGTAACAGACCTAACCCGCCGTGTAGCCAATGTCTTCACACAGAACTGTGGCCTGCAGCAGGGGGACTATTTGGCCGTGATTCTGCCTCGAGTGCCTGAGTGGTGGCTGGTAGCCGTGGGCTGCATGAGAGCAGGTCAGTGACTCAAGGTAGCACCATTTGACCTAGGGGTGCCCTAGAGCAATTGGTCTGGGATACTAGGTGCTGTGCACCCGACTTGGCACAGGCACAGCTTGGAGGTTCTGACCTCAGCTCCTGTGGTAGGACAACAAAGCAAGGCTCCTTGTCCTCTGGGAACTAATAGTTCATTTGGGGGTAAAATATTTTCTCTTTCTCCTACCTTCTTTCTTCTCCATGGCCTTTTTCTTTCTCTCACTCCCTCAAAATTCTCTTACTCTTTCTTGTTCTTTCTCTCACTCGCATTCATACACTCTCCAGCACAATGTCATACATGCTCTCTTCCTCTCTTTCTCACACACATACACGCACATACACGTTTCACAGTCTCACATATTCTCACTTCCGAAAAATATATCAGTTTTAACTATTTTTTTTCATATGTAAGTTCTCTCTGTGTGTCTATTTAATCATTTTAGAATCATGTGTGGACATTCCTACTCCTATAAACATTGGGTAAAACCCATGAGCAAAGGAGCATGCATCTACTATGATCTAAGTAAAAATATCATGCATATTTATACTTCATATAATCACAATAGAATTATCTCATAAGAAGACTAATAATAACAGAATATAGTTACCTGATATCCACCCATGGTAAAAATTCCTTAAGTGCCCCTATAAACTCCTTTGTCACTACTTTTTATTTTAATCCAAAAATCTGTTTCAGAATCATTCATTGTATTTGTCCTGTGTCTCAGTTTTCTTTAATCTAGAATGGCTCTTCAGCCTTTTCAACATGACAATACATTTTTGAAGAGTAGAGGTCAGTTGTTTTGGTGAATATTTCTCAATATTTGAATTTACGAGTCTTTTGTTCTTGATTATACTCAAGTTAAACTGTTTTGGGAGGAGTATTACAAGGGCAATGTTGACTCTTCATTATTTTATCGTATCAGAGTATGTATAAAATAGCTTTATCCCATTATCAGTGGCAATGTTTCACCATTTGAATAAGGTGATATACACCAGATTTCTCTTTTGCAAATCCAATAGAAAAGATTAGGGAAGGGCTTTCAAGTTTTAATATGCATGAAACTAATTTGGGGGGATCTTGCTAAAATGTAGTTTCTGATTCAGTGAGTTTAGGGCAGGCTGTGACATCCTAGTTGGTTTTTATGCTACTAGTCTGTGAACTGTACTTTACATAGCAAGAGGTTATGGTATTTCTAATCAGATGAACAAGGCCTAAAGCCCACAGCTGTGAAAAGGGAACTGAAGCAAGCAGTTCTTTTCTCATCCACAGGAATCATCTTCATGCCAGGGACCACCCAGTTGAAAGTCAAGGACATACTCTACCGCCTACAAATGTCTAAAGCCAAGGGCATTGTGACCACGGATGACCTTGCCCCAGCGGTGGACTCTGTGGCTTCTGAGTGCCCATCTCTGAAAATCAAGCTCCTGGTATCAGATCATAGCCGTAAAGGGTGGATGGACTTCCGTTCACTGATTAAGTGAGTGTGGGCTGAAGTCTATGGTCTCTGAGGAATGGTGGGAGAAAGTCATCCATTTCCAAGTGCTGGGAGATAATCAGCTGGCGGTGGGAGGCTCACAAGGTCAGAAGCTAGAAACTTTCTCTGCCCAACTAAGTCACTGATTTACTGATTGACTCTGAGCCGCTGAATTTCTTCCTCTCTTTTAGTTGCATTTGCTTTATGTATAAAATGAAAAAGTTGAACTTCCACACCCCTTATGAAAGTATACTCACACCTAGGACTGTCCCAATGAAATGTGTGACATCAGAGAGTTATTTTGTTTCATAGTCCCCGTAAGAGGGGTCCTTGAATATCATTTTTATAATGAAAATAAATATATCAAAGAGTTAAGTGAAATATTTGAGTGAATTTTTAAGGTAAAACTTAAAACTCAAAAAAAATATATATATTGTTGCCATAGCTTTCATAGGTAGCACATAGGCCCCTGTGGGAGCAGACACTTCCTATCTCACAGGGACTACCATTAGGGCCAACTAACAGGCAACATTTAGAAACACTGGAGGCAAAAAGGAATCCTTCTATGTCTCAGTCTTTGTGTAAATATTCAAGCATATTCCATGTCACACACACACACAAGTCAGGTTTGATTTCTTGGAGTGAATCTCATCTTTGAAAGTTCTTTATTTCAACTCTAAAAGGCAAAGATTACAGTGCAGTCACATCTTATGCTAGATTCTAAAGTCAGAGGATTTAATGAAGCAGCTTAAAATCACAAATACTCTTTGTTTTTAATTTTCTTATTTCTTATTTATATTTAATTGTTGTACATCTCCATGCACACAGTATGGTTTTTCAAAGTATGCAGGTAGCACGTGACCATCAAACCAAAGACATTACCCTATACATCATTTTCAGCAGGGAACTTTACATCCTTATGTCTGTTAAGTATTTCTTCCCTCAGATTCTCTCACTTTCCCTCTTCTGGCCACCTCCCACCACCCCCATAGTCTCTGGTATCTGCATTTGTCCTCCCTGCTATTATATCTTCGAATCTTTCAATTACTGCTACAGAATACAGACATTCGGTATATATTGAGCAGGGATAGACAGTGTTTGTCTTTCACAGTCTGTATTACTTCACTAGTATTACATCTGAGGAATTTTTAAAGAGAATTTTTGTGGGTGAACATGAATATCCTTTGAAATTCTCTCAGATTGTCCAGAGTCAGCATGATACTATTTCTCAGGAAGACCAGCAGAGCTACTGTATTGGGATTAGTTGCACTTTATTAGAACAACTTAGAACACTCCATTCACGACCATCGTAGGCTGAAGAGTCTCTAAGTCCAGGAGATGGTCCTGAGAATCAGGGCCAACCGAGGGACCCACAAATTCTATCTGCCATCTCAAGCTCCTTCCAGGACAAATGTCCATCAAGGACAGTGATCAGCCATGAGGTCATTTTGATTCCTCACACTGGAAGATCAGTTTCTCCTCCAGTGCTGCAATCCCCCTAGCTTCCTGACTCCATGCCTCAAGTTGTTTCTCTTGCTTTTCTAGAGGACAGAAATCCGCAAACATGACTTTTCTCTTTTGTCTTGAATCCCTGTGCAGATCAGCATCCCCAGAACACACCTGCATTAAGTCAAAGGTCATGGACCCAATGACCATCTTTTTCACCAGTGGGACTACAGGCTTCCCAAGAATGGCGAAACACAGTCATGGACTTGCCTTACGATCTTCCCTTCCTTCAAGGTAGGAAAGACAGCACCAACTTTGAGGCTGGGTCCCAGTTCTGGTGCAGATGTGGTGTGTGTGTGTGTGTGTGTGTGTGTGTGTGCATGTACACACATGTTGCTCTAAATAGAAGTGACTTTGTCCTTCTCCAGTCTGCTCTTTTGATTCAGACCTCAGAGTCTGAGAAGTGAAAGCTGGGAATGCTAAGTGTTTGCTGACAGGCACCTCAGAACAGTAAAGGGGACATATTTGTGTGTTACCTGAGCACCTTCACAGGAGGTGAGGAAGAAATGTGGGTGCAGGCATCAGGCATCCTGCAAATCTACAAATGACAAGACATTTTGTCCCTGACAGTGACTACACAGTTTGGTGAGAAAAGCAGGGTATTCTGGCAGTCTGACTTGAGGTGACAGGCTATCTCCACCCCCCATGAGGAACACATCAGACACAGTTTCCCAATCATAAATGACTGAGAAAGAAAATAGATAAAACCAGGCAACATTTAGCTGCTGCTCCTAACCTAGAACAAACAGTTCATGCTGGCTGAAGTTCTAGCTTTGGGTTAATCATTTAATAAACTTTAAATTAGACCTCTCTTCTCCTTCTTTTCTTCTACAACTAGCAACATTCAGACCAGACCAGAGTCTACATATTTTCTAACTTAGCAGCCAGAACGGGGGCAAAGAAGACTTCTTGTAAGCAGAGGGTATTTGAGATAATAATAACAATTGAATAGCAAAACCCTTGAAGGCATGAAAGTGAGAAAAGAGAGGGCTTTATGTGTAGTTGGGAAAATATGTGCAAAGGCATGTAGACACAAGGATTGGAAGTCGTAGACCTAGGGAGACTTGAGAATCACTAGTGCTCAGGGTATGAGATGAAAAATAATTGGGAAGAATTGGAAAGTGAGCAGAGTCCAGACCATCCAGGGTCTTTTTTGCCTTGGTACAGAGTTTGGATCTGATTGGGAAAGTAATGAGGAGGTACTGAAAGATTTGTATTTTGAAAAGGTCACTGTAGCAGCATGATGGAGAATGGGTTGGAGAAAGTTAAAAAAAAGAGTTAGGGACAACCAGGTACAAGGCACTTAGAATTCTCCAAGTGCTTCATGGTGGTGATCTAGACCAAGGTACCAGAGATGTGAAGGAGGTTAATGCATTTGAGATTTTGGGTGATGAGTGAGCAGGTACTGTTGACTAGATATGGAAGATAGGAGGGAGTCAAAGTAGATTTCCAAGTTTGGTGCTTAGACAGTTTCATGGAAGTGATGAAGGTCACTGACATACAGAGAGCATGGAGGAAAAAGTTAAAGAGATGCAAGAGAAATTAGCATCTGCTTGTTTTAGATACTTGAAAGACATCCCAGAAGAGATGGTAAGAGAGTGGTAGGATATCGCTTCTCGGCCTTTTGGCTAAGATCAAGTGTAGAGAGTGGTAGGATCTGCAGTCCAGAAAGAAGGTTTCTTTTTCTAGTAATTTCCTGTGAATATGCCACAATTTTAAGAGAAATGGGATGAGAAAGTGTGAGTAGCTGTCAAAGCCTTTTCCTACTGATCAAAAAGCTCCTCAAAGCCATAGTCTGCCAAAGCAAGAGCTGTGTTTTCTCAAAGAGCCATGGAACACAAGTCCTCTGGAAACCATAAGAATAGCAAAAAATAAGAAACTTCCCCAGCAGCAGTGGCTCATATAATGTCACTCACTAAGAGGTTACAAATGACAGAAGATGCCCAGGCTTTGTTCTTGGGCCAAGTCGTACAGGCTGGGCTTGCTTGCAGGCTTGTGTGGTCCAGGCTAGTTGGGAGGTTGAGGCAGGAAGATGCTGACATAGCAACACTCTGTCAAGAATGCCTGTCTCTGCCCCCACCTCCTACCCTCATCCTTTTCCACCTTACTCCCTCATAAAAGAAAAAGAAAAGAAAAGAGAGAGGAAAGAAAATTCACTAGAAATCTTCCCTACTCCATGTTGTAATATTCCCCTTTGGCTAATTGCTTCCAATCCCTTGTCAAGATGGGGTATTAATTAAGTCTCTCTCTCTCCACTGCAAACAATAGAAATCTCAACCCCAAAGCCTTTAAACCAAATAGAAAATTGAGAATTTATTGGCTCATGGGGCAGAGCAGTCTCAGCTTTGCCATAGCTGGATTGCCTCCAGGTCAGGTTTTCATCTCTTCATCTCTCAACTTCGTTTCTGCTGTTATGATGCTGTTCTCAGAAAAGCTCATTCCTTATTGTCCCAATGCATCTGTCAGCATCAGTAACAGTTTCAAACCCATTGAACTAAAAATAGGCTCTGTCCTAGCATTCCTAGCAAAAGTCTCAGGGATCATTGTGAAGAATGAGTTTCAGCTGTGTGTGACCAGAATGTATGACTTAGGAGTGCACCTTAGGGACCTTGCATGGGAGTAGTCTGGAGCCCCACACAAACCACATGAATGGGGAGTAAGAGGGACAGGTGCCAAGCTGAAAGCCATAGTTCCTAGCCCTCAATGCACGCTCCTATGATTGCATAGCTGACACCACTGCATTTTGGAGTTAGCAGGAAATTACTGCAGCTGAAGACATCTGACATCTTATGGTGCGTGTCGGACCCAGGCTGGATTCTGGCTGTCTTTGGATGCCTGTTGGAGCCGTGGACATCAGGGTCTACAGTTTTCTCCCATAATCTGCCTCAGTTTGATCCCAAGGTCATTATACAGGTAAGAAAACTGATCTTCCAAAAATTAACAAATTCTTAGACATAAACACTATCCCAAGCCAATAGCTAGACCCTGCTGAGAAATATTTCATTAAGTAAAGAAGCTCAGCAGCATAATATAGCCCTGGTTCTGGGATTCTCAAAGTGGGAGGCACTGAATCCGAATCATAGTATCAGTATCACATGACATGTAACCTGAGAGAAAATGCATATTTCTGGTCCATTCCCCAGACTTGTGCATTAGACTTTGTGAACATGAGTCCCAGAATATGCATTTCGAGAATTAGTGCAACCATGAGCTCAGGTCTTATGTAGCTGGTGTGTGTGTATGGCGTTACTCAATACAAACAAGTGCTTAAAAACAAGCCTGTGTGGCCAGCCGCTGTGGCACTGCAGTAACACAACACTCTGATGCTGAAGTCACATGGGAACATCCTGGGTTCCTGTCCCAATGTCTCCCTGTATGTGACAGTGTCCATGTACCTGGCAGGCTGAGGCTGGGGTGCATGGCAGCAGGAAGACCCTGTTAGGGGTCCTTATCTGTCTGTCTGTCTCTGTCTCTCTCTCTTTCTCATGAGAGAAATAAAGAAACTTTTAAAAACAAGCCCTTAGAATGTGACAGATCTAGCTTCTCCCAATTTTGATATTAATTATCAGGTTACTTAGCACTCCAAGCCTCAGTTTCCTATCTGTAAAATGGGACTTTTTTTGACTTTTTTTTTTTTCGCTATAGGGCGCGTGCACTCGCCAGACAGAGAGAGACATAGAGACAGAAAGTGAGAAATCATCCCCCCAGGGGGGATGGTCATGCCGCAATCCCTTCTCCTCCATTCTTTTCTCGGGATCTTGGGCACGCACGCATACGCACCCGGCGTGAGTTTTAAGCCACCGGATCTGGGATGCAAACCGCGGTCGACTACGTGGGAGTCTAGCGACATAGCCATTACGCTAACTGCTGGTTCCCTAAAATGGGACTTTTCATAGTTATTACAGTATAAAATCTATGGGACTGCTAATGAGATAACACAGGCAAAGTGTGGAAAGTGCTTAGCCCTGAGGCTGACACAGAAAACACTCCCTACTTGATAGTTGCTGCTGTTAGTTTATTGTGAGTCTTTTCTCTCTAAGTATTTATTGTAATTTATGAATTGCATATAATCATTACACGTCTCTGTAGGGTACAGAATCGTCTTTTATAGCATGTATATGGTGTGTAATAAACAGATTGAGGATATAAACATACTCACCACCTCAGCATTTAACATTATGTTGTGAACATTTGAAACTCACTTTAATGGTTATTCTGCAAGTAGGTACTGAATTATCTATGACATTCTTTACTGTGAGGTACAGTTCTAAAGAAGAACATACTGATTAAAATTTAAATGCATTTTGAAATATTACATGATTTTAGGGTCATTTTATAAATACTAAACATCACTGAAAGAAAAAAAAATCAGGCAACAAACAATCTCTTAAATTAACAAAGATAACCTTCACATACATGATGAAAGAATTTATGATTTTCATGTAGATGTCCATGGGAGATAAGAGTTTATAATCTGAAAAAAATCTGTGAGTAAAAAATCATTGGTCTAGTTAGAGATGGGTAAAATAGTACATAACAATAGCTCATTAGAAAGAGATAGAAAAAGAATACTTTTACTCACACATTGTGAGATCTTGGAAGACTGTAGTACTGTATAGTGCATAAAGAAATAAATCCTTGAAAAATCAAAGATAAAACAAAATTGGAAAGAGATGTTTAAAAATGAAGACATGATAAAGCCAGTGATTTAGTGATTTATAGGCTTTACAAAGTTCTCGATTTTAGCCTTTTTAAAAAATTCATACCAAAGAAGGACTCAGCTGTAACATTTTGAACTTTATTATATAGTTTTATACAATGAGTAATGGTTATAATAAGTATATAAATTAAAACCTGTGGAGATAACTTGTCTATAAAATAATTGGTGAATTTGTACTAAAACCTGGTTATATGTAAAATTGTTGACTCTGCCTCTCCATTTTCCCTCCAAATTTCCTTTCCTATGCTCTTCCCCTCCCACAGTCTCTTTCCACTTTGTCTCTGGTGTCCATTACCATTTTTAATACTTTTCTGTTCTCCAGTCTTTCAGTCTCTACCATAGAGTGCAGACAGTCGGTATATGTTAAGTGGAGACATATAATGTCTCTCTTTCATAGCCCAGCTTGCTTCACTCAGCAACAAATCTTCCATATTAGTCCACTTTCTATCAAATTCCAGGGCCTTGTTGTTTTTTATGGCTGAATAGTATTCCATGGAGTATATGTGCCACAATTTTTCAATACATTCATCAGTTTGGTACATTTGGGTTTGTATGATAGTCTCAACCGGGCTGGACTGAGGTGTAAATCATGCTGGGTAAAGTCTCTTCACAATCTAAATGATGTATAGCGATTTAATGTATGAATAATAACACAAAATTTTAAAAAAATGTTGACTCTATATTTAGTCTCAACATTCAATGTTATTATCAATATGCATGGACTTATCTTTTTTTTTCTAGTTGTTTTGTGTCTCTCTTTAGCTTTCCTGGTATAGTATTCCCATAAGTATTTCCTGAAGATCTTGTTTCATTTTGGTGAGTTCTTTCAGTATTTGTTTATCTGGGAATGATTGTATTTCTCCTTCCATTTTAAGGATGGAATAACATTTTTGGATGAAATGTTAGTCTACTAGGGTAACTTTTGTAAGTAACTTGGTGTTTCTTTCTTGCCATTTTTAGAATTTTCTCTGTGTTTGATTTTTACCAATTTGACTATGATGTGCCTTGGAAAGGATCTTCTTATATCTATTTGGTGTCCTTTTTATCTCCTGGATTTGGATGTTCATGTGCCTCTCTAAATTTGGAAAGTTTTTAGATAATATATTATGAACGATGTTCTCTATGCCTTTACCTGTCTTTTCACCTTCTGAAATATCTATTATGTGGCTATTTGGCTGTTTAATAGTGTCTAGAATTTCCTGTGTATTGTCTTCATTTGTAATGGTTATTATTCTCTTCTTTTTGGTGGCTTGTAGTAAATCAAAGGTTTTGTCTTCAAGGTCAGAGATTCTTTCTTTTGTGTAGTCTAGACTGCTGTTGATACTTTTGAGGGAGGTTTTGATTTCCTGCAATTTAGTCTTTATTTCCAGAAGTTATGTTTTATTATTTTTTTTCACTGCGTCTATCTCCTTATGAAGTTCCTCATTCATGTCATGGAAGGATTTTCTCATCTCCTGCAATTGGTTCTCTGTTTTCTCTTGCATGTTGTTGAGTATTGTTACAATGACTGTTCTGAGTTCTTTGACATTTCTGCAATCTCTTATATTTTATACATTGCCAGTGAGGAGTTATGATCCTTTGAGGGGGAGATTTTTCTTGATTTTTTTCCTATTTCTTCAGGCTCTCCTTTGATTTCAGTCATTTAATGGTATACTCAATTATTTCTACTTCTTTGAAGTTTTTTATTTTTATTTTTATTTTTTGTAGCTGTGTGCTTCTGCACTTCATTATGACGTGCATAAGCTGTGCCAATTTTCCTCCATTACTGCAGTTGGGAGTTTGAAATCCATGGTAGGCATTTAGGGTTTAGGTATTCAGAGAGGAGTTTCTCTCCCTTTACTGCTAAGGGAGTTAGGGGGGAAATAATTCCTCCAGAGTCTCCTATTTTCAGATGTTTGTATACCCAAACCTAGCTGCTTCCAACATGGAGGGAGGTTGTGTTGACAGGTAGAGTATAAAGTGGTATACTACTTGCAGTGTACAAGCTGGAGAGCCCCTCCTCCACCACAGTAGGCTGGATGGGGGTCCCTGTTGGTGAGCTCAAGCCAAGCAGTTCGGCTATGGCTTGCCTGTGGGTCCTGGATAGGTGAGGGGCAGAATAGCATCAGCATACATGGGATAGCAGCTTCTACCTTCTGTCTCTGGGGTTGTAGATTTTCCCTGTTGCTCCTTCTTTCTCTGAGATTATAGGAACATGGTATTTGTTCTTGAAGGCCAGAGAGCCCCTCCGCTACCACATTAGACTGGATGGTGTTCCCTGTTGAATAGTGTGAGTCTTTCTTGAGGACTGTCAAAGTCACCTGCAGGAACTCTCCATCCATTAATATGACCATTTATCTGTTCTCTGTCTTCTATCTCAGAGGCAGACCTGCCCCTTCACTCCTCAGAGTACACTCCTCTCTCCCACAAAAACTTCAGACTTTGTTCCTTTCCCTGGCCTTGTAATAGCGTTATTGGTCTCTAAGTCCGGTTGCTTCTTCAGGTTGTCTATAAAATGAGAGGCAGAAGCTAGAGAAGAAGGGACTTTCTTTCTGTAGCCAGTTATAGGAGGAGGGTCAGGAAACACCATCGAACTGTCTCCAAAGTGCTCAGAATGTGCTTGGTATTTATGGATACAGGATACTAGTATGTGCAACCTCACTGCCATTAATCAAAATCAATTGCTTTCCTTTGAGCAATTGTCCTGACTCCTATTTTTCTTTAAATACCCATTCTTCATTTCTCATTTGACCATTCCTCAGACAGACCTCCCCGTGACTCAATGTTGCTCAGATTGTTCTCAACAGAGGCCTTTCTTAATTTCAAAATGGCTGCCATCCTACTGAACCTCAAGCTGATCTGCTTCATTTGGAGCCTCTCTCTATTCATATTTAACTGGTTAGCACTTTCCTGCTGTATTTCCAGTCTTTCACTTCTCATTAGCTCCACTCCCTCAGTTCATAAACACATTCAATGTCCTCATCCTAAAAATATCTTTCCTTCCCCCTGCCACCGTGGTGGAAAATACCAAACATCTCCTCGGACATTCTCAGTTTGTGTGGCCACCTCTGCTTCACCTTGCTTTCCCTTAAAGACTATATCCCTCCAAGTGCATGCCTTTACTTTTCCTCTCTCTTTAACACAATCTCCTTTATTTCTGTTTCTTTAGCCAACACATGAAGTGGTGGCTCTCAAAACTATACCCAGGGTCTAG